AAATTACCTCCATGCACTTGCTACAATTACCACCCGTACTCGCTACAAATGTCACCCGTACTGGCTACAAATGTCACCCGTACTGGCTTCAAATATCACCCGTTCTCGCTATTTCACCCGTACTTGGCTCATTTTAGTACATTTATATACCTCGCAAATGGTCCACAGCTTATGGGTATGTTATAATTTTTGAACACTGAAGTTGGCTTTTGTCAACTTTCACAAAACAAACCTGAATAATTTTTTACTTATTTTTTTCAACCCAATGAGAAATTATGTCAATTTTATCATTAAAAATACATAACCAAAGAAAACGTGGAAAAACATTTCCATGTGGTCAGAGTATTGGAGGCAAAGATAGAAAAGATGAGATATACATTGTAGAACAGATTTAAGAGTCAAGATCAAACTATTGAAGAAGTTGCATTACATTGAAAATCGGTTGACTTATGCAAATTAGGCAATTAATATGCACAGAGCACAACAAAGTCATCAGATTCGTGGATCATCTCCCAGTACCAGTTTCAAAGAAATTCATATTATAGTGGTTGTGAGATATCAGTAGAACAGCTAAAAACGAGCTAATTATTATGCAAAATAGGTACACACAGATTTCAATCATAATGTAATAAGATCAGAGGATTATCCCCACTAAGTCTAATAAGTGGTTCTAGAGATATCACTGGGAAATGCTAAAATTGGCTAATTAAGATATCCCAGGAACATCTGAAAATTCACTAATTATTATGCTAATTAGGTAATTAATAGGAGCGGATTTCCACGAAAAACTAATCAGATATGCCCAGAGCATCTATGTACCAAATTTTAGTAAAATCATCTGCACACAATACACACATACATACAATGTAGACAAATACTGACAAAATACTGACAAAAGTTGCATAAATATTTAGGCTAAAAAAAAACGTATAGCACTCAATGAATTAATTTGATGGTTCTTAATCAGTGAACAATCAGTAATGGGTGTTTTTTTTTCAGATATGTTAAAAACCATTTCAGGTTTTGAGGTAAAATTCTAAACATGCCTTACAACATCCTTGAATGAAACAACCACTAGTTTCAGATCTATAGATATAGTTCAAGATTTGTTACATGCATGTGGAACACAGCGACAATTCTTCCTGTTTACGGTTACCAGCCTGGGGCATGAAATATACACATATACCGGTATACAGTTCATATCATACTTGGCATACTAATAACGAGTCTGTCAATCATGTAAAATGTATATACTAACAAATTAAGTAGTCGTGCTAAATTAACAAAAATGTCTGACACATGTCTGATGATGGTGGTTATTTTATGAAAAGCCTGAGGTAGAAGAATACCTCCTGTGGTGTAAACAAGTAATGATATCATGCATCATAGATTACAGTATAATATGAACCAGAGTATTAAAGGTGTTACCCTAAAACCCATCCTGTCAGGTAGTCATAGTGATATATGCAACAAATGTATGTATATAGATTTCAGATTCTATTTTTTTGTTTATGTAAATACTATATCTAGTCCCATCTGCAAGTAACTTAAAGAGTTTTGGGTTGACCTGAAGACTGTGTCATGTTCTTGCCTTCATTATTATGACTAATTGCTATAAGAATACAGAAAATAAGCAAAATTAGAGTCAATAGACAATTTTTCAAGAAATAAGAGTTGAAATGTCAAGGCAAATGCTCAAAATTGGCACTGTCACACTGGTTTGTATGGTGAAATTATTTCTTCATATTTTGAAATTCTGCTTGACATTGAATGAAAAAGTTTATCATTATTATATAAAAACATAATCATTGACATTTAACTTGTGTTATACCAATAGTGATACGTACAATAGGAAGTTCTCCCCCATTATGCATTGCATACATGTGCAGTAACATGCTCAGTATTGTGTAATTTGAATTAGGGTTAAACTGTCTGTCTGTCTGTCTGTCTGTCCCATTCACACAATAACAATTTTCCCTATCTGATTGCTCACCCACATGTTTTTCATATAGTTATATACTAAACAAGAGTAATTTATTCTGCAGCCAACCACATGGAAAAAAATTGCCTGTTCATTTTTCTCAGCTGCACCCATCCATGAGGAATGTTTGCCCTAATAATGTCCATCTGTGAGAAATCTAGTCACAAACAGCCCCATCCGAAAGGAATGTTTTCCTTGAACTACATGTATACACACATCTACAATAATAATATCAACAAAAAAAAGCATTCTCCATCAGTCACAGTACATGTATATAGTCCAGCCCTGTTACTCAAGTTCTACAATGGCTTTTACAAAGTTGCCTAGATTATTGTGCCAGTAGAGAAAATTCTAAATCTGACCCAGGAATGAATATGCCTGTAAACTTTATAATAAAAATTGAGAAGTACATATATTATATCCAAAAATACTCAAAAGGACAGGCATTTGCTTGCTTGGTATAAAAGGGGAATTTCATTGAGCTATAAATATTTCCACGTCTTTGTTACCCTCGGTCACTTGACCTTTAATTAAGTACCTCAACAGAACAGGGACTGCATAACCTTTGTGTTTATTACATTAGCAGTGTAAACCAAAGACACAAGAGAATACAGAAACAGGGAACTGTGCCAAACATCAAAACTATGCTCTCCCTGTCATTAGTAAAATGAAGTAAATTGTGATTTTTTTTTCTTTCTTAAAATGTACTGAAAATAACTCAGTAAATGTTTGCTGGTTCTTGTTTTTCTTTCTCAATTACTAAAGACTAAAGAGAATGATGTTCATGTATTATATGCAAGCATATCTGGGACAACAAGTCCACAAACTTCTATATCACACAATCACATTTTTTTCAAAATATACTGTATTAAAATAAATGTTCCTAACAAACAAGTAAATTTAAAGGTGCTACTGTTCATAAAACTATTGCATTTCTTTGAGTAGTTGTTTTGTAACCCATTTTGAAAACATGGTATATTAAATTTGTCCAAAAGCTGCTAGTGAATGTTCTAGTGCACAGTGTTTGTGTAAGCATGTTTTCGTTTTGAAATTCATCTATTGTAAAACAGATTTATAAAATTTACTTTGTTTTTGTACATGTGAAATATTGAATATTGAAACTTAATCTGACACATTTAAACATCAAAAGACATATTACATTAAAGAAAATTAGACAGTTGCCTGTCCCGAGTGTTCTAGCACATTACTCACCAAAAGATCTGCATTGAGACCAATCAGAGCAGTCGATGTTAGAGACAGCGACAAGAAGTGTGATAATGGGAACCAAAACCAGAAATGTGTGAATACCAGTAAGCCAACCACTGATGGCATATGAGTATGGCCAGTACGAGACTGTAGTTGTATGGTAACATTACGACCACCTAAAAATAAAAAGAATGTAAGGTTAGCTGAAATGCAGAGCAATCAATAGAATAAAGCTAATTATATAAATAATTGAGGGGAAAAAAATAATAAAAGGATGGCCACATGCACTTCTCACTATTGTTGTTGTTAACTTTTTCACCACCAGTTACCCGTTTTCATCACAAATTCACAAAATGGTTCTGTTTATAGTCTGCACTTTCCTTCAGAAGAATGAGACAAAAATACCCAAACTTTTTTGAGTAAAAACTGAAAATTGACTGAAATTTTGTCTGTTGGCTTCTTCAAAACTAGGGTTCATTTCTATAAATATTAAAGATAGGAAAAAGTGCAGAAACATTTGGTTCAGAAAGTCGGGCGATGAAAAGATTTAAGTTGTTCAAATCACATAGTATGTATATAGATTTAGTATCTGTGAACAAGTGCAAGGTTACAACTATTGTAGTGTGTTTATTTGTGGAATAATTATAACTGCACCAGTGAGACTAAAGAAACATTAAATACTTCAAAGAAAGTGCTACACTTAACTTTAGGAATCTACTTTTGCTTGGCAATGCAAAAACACTTAAACATGGACGTAAAATGATCTCAATGTTTTACTTTTGATGCCCAAACACTTTCAAGTCTAATCCCAAAGGCTTTCAAGCTCAGCTGATGAGTTTGTAGAAACCTTGTTTGGTAACGGGTTGAACAGTTGAGCTATTAAGGTCGATACAAGGGATGAATAAATCCCACAATGCATCACACTAATATTCAAAATAAAAGTATTCACTCAAAAAAACATGTGTTAACAGCATTTGAAATCTGTATTTAATAACTCTTGAATTGATTACTATGATCACATGTATAAGGACTGCAGGCATATAATGGTTTCTGCACTAAGTAGATGAAAAACATCAATTTCACATCAAGTTCAACCAAGGTTAGGACCTTTGGGTTTTATCATATTCAATTTACTGCACTAAGTAATTAACCTTAGACAACAGTTTGTAAATGAATATCTGCAGTCTCATTTCTTAGATATATTGATCAGTATATGACCCACATTTCATAATGTGATACAAGATCACTTCAGTTCAAAAACTGTTGTACATGTAATTTAACTGTAGAGCAAGTATAATATGCAAGAGAAAAATGCCTGATGGCAAATTTTGACCCCCCAAATGTTTCTTGCAGATAAATGATTGTAATTATTTTTTATAATTCATAACTGAGATAAATGAATCATGAGAACATTCATTAAAACATTAGAACATTTTGCATAGTTGTCTTAGTGGAATACTAATACTTCTCTGGCATGCAAATTTTTTATGAAAATCATAATTCTGCATAACAGCAATCTACTTGCAGTCTGTGGGAAGCTGTTAAAAAACAAAATTTCTGACTGAAAATAAGCTAAAGTCATAAATGATGAATTATTGTGATATACGACTTCATGTTTTAGAGAGGCCAAGCAATAATTGCCTGGCAATAGTAGATGTGATCTTGTTGATATTGCAGTAAGATATTCCAACCATTTGCCGATCTTCATCAATCATAGCCGCGCAAAAGAATAATGTGGGTCAGGAATGATATTTCAAAGTAACGTACATTCACTTTTAATTGAAAACGCATACCATTCATAAAGCGATTAACATCTAGGTACATTGCTTTTCTTCAGAGCACTATGAATATTTGTAATGTCCCAAAGTTCAAAGGAGCGGAAATTGATGTAACAATATTTTAATCACAATGAAAATCGTGTAGATTACATTCCACATGATTTAACCTGGCAATTCAACCATTCACTCGATAAGACAGTCCCTTGAGATAAAAGTAATATCAGTTATTAGTATATATATATATTGAGGCCTAAAGTTCAAACTCAAAATAAGCTGATAATTCTAAAAACAAGGGGGGTAAATCATTTCGCTGATAATAGAATATGTACAGCTTTAGTAATGGCAAAGTACATGTACTTATCATATTATAGAAAGGTGATTTATCTTTAACATAAATTCAATTTTAATGCAAAAGAATGTACATTTCAACATTAACAATCAAGGATTTTTAAGCAAAGGTTCCCACTAACGTGTAATAACTAACATGTAATATCTTGTGAAATCAGTTTTATTTTATTTTATTTAGATAAATAATATAAAACAAAGGGTAAATTTGCATAATGTTGAAAGACAAAAAGCGATGACCACCAAAGTTTTGTAGAACCAAAAGTTTGGCAAATTGAAAGTTTTGTGAGTTGTAACTACACTCAGGTGAACTGTTTTCTGCAAAATGTATTTTGAGAATCAGTGATATACTCTGAGCAGGTGGTGTTCTCAAAATTTAGACAATGCTAGTTATAAAATGAGACGTACAGGCTATTGAATGTTGCACCAATGCAGATAAAAGTATTTATGATTCCTACTTTACTTTATGATTAAATCATTCACTATATTATTGATAATCCAAATACTATTAAATGATTGCAATTGCCTTCTTAGCACATCACCTGCTGAAGCCTTCATGAATACACAAAATGAATGGGGAAAAAGGGCGTCTACAGGCAATGAAGTTAAAGGGGTACCTGTAAATCACAGGGGTTGAACCAGTGAATCCTGGGATACTCAATGTTTACTTCATTTTCCATTGTATTTTTAATCCAGTGAAAATATTTGCAGTGAGATTAGTCTCAACTGGGGATGCCACCAACATTAGTGGCGTTCATGTAAGAGATCTCAGCATGTGCCAAAAATTGATATCGGTCCCGATAGATGCTTGGGGCCGAAACTCGGCATATGCCGAGATTTACTGCCTGAACGCACACAGCATGAACTGAAATCACACTCTCGGTGGTGAATTTCAGAGAACATATACTGATTCATACTAGTATGACATGATGATGGAGGAAAGTGAAGCTATATATGGTCGGATGCTGTAGTAATGTATGAAATGAATCCAAACTGTTTTCAGTGAGGCATATTTATGTGCTGCTGCAACAGCTTTTTCCTTGCAATTCTACTTTGAGGTGAAAAAATGAATCTTCTTTGCTGTTGCACGATGACACGTAATAAATACCATAACAGCAAATGGATACAATTGCAATATAGCAACTATTATCATCATATGCGTATAATTCTCCATGTTTTGGTCAAATATCAGAAAGACGAATGAGGATGTCATTTCAGTACGAGCTGAGTGAACGCAACTGCTGTAATCCCTCTGCAAACACAAAGGATTAAAAATTTCTGCACATGCAGAGATCCCATAACGTGAACGTAGCACATGTATTCTCAACAGAACACTGATAATGGCACGCAACATACAAGAATACAATAATAAACCATTTCATAGCAACAACACCCATTTGTAAAGTGAACCATTCCAAAGTTGAAGCATTGAAGAAATAAGGAAGAGGCAGTTCCGCTGAGCTATACCCATAAATTAGCTGTACAGCTGTCTAACGAGGTACTCATGGTAACATAAATTTGAGACAGGAAAAATATAAAACATGAAGCTGCTTCACTTTGAAGAGCTTTGTACAGAAAGTACTCTGAAAGGTTAGATGAAACTTATAACACTGACAGGGTGAGATGATGTAATCTATTGTATGTAGGTGGCATCATTTCCGTAATTTAAAACACTGTTTTCAAATAGTTCACACATTAAAGTGCATTACAATCACAGTTCTGAAGGTATGAAAAAACACAACACAAGGCCAAACATTATTATAAATATTTAAAAGCATACTCAGAATGTCAAGTACAGAGTGCTATAAAATGAATTATATTCTCAAAAAGTGTCTCGTCCTTGCACTAGCTATATACTACTGCTCATCCTTTTTTTCCCCACATGTAATGGTCACCTGGACACTATGTTAAAATATTACATGTATTGAAATAACTAAACATTCAGCTTGTTTTAGCCTTTATATATAAGGAGTTTCTTCAACAGTTGCCACTCACCCACCCACCAAAATGTATGCACATTTTCTGAGGGGACGCAATCAATAAATCAAGAAACAATGTATTTGATAATCTGCTGACAGGTCATTGGCCAATAAGGAAATCGGTGCAATAATTGGAATGGTGGATGGGTACTATACATTAAACTAATATTAACTTTTATGTGATATACATGTTGGAGAGTTTTATGGTGTTCGATACTATTTGGTTATCACATAAAAACGTATGGTGATCATATTAACCAACACTTGCTTTATTATTATAGTTATTTTTCATGCATGTAACGATAATTTAATAAGAGATGACAGCCTGAAATGGCAATGAAAAAATGTTTGCACTACATGTATTTGCGTTCAGTGACCAGATTCTTTTTCAGTTGCCTGTGATTGTGCTTCTGATGTAAACAAAGGAAAGTGTTTTAATGCAGTGTCAATAATCAGGAACATATGTGACATACTAGTAGGTTACTCAAAATATGTAACACTCAAATGAGTAGATACGTTTATGCAACTTTATGAAGAATGGCAACTTCTATGGTTCACAGTGCAAGATGCATTATAATAAACTTTTCAAATGTCTATATTCATGGTCGCTAAAGTTTTAAGTTGAATCTCCTAGAGTGATGTTATAATAGTCTTGACTACAAATGTGTATCTGTAGGCAAAACAATGTTTTGCCAGATAACTAAACATCTGGCTTCAATGTGTTTTATTATGAACACTCTTAAGTGTTATGAATAACAACAAATGGAAACAACCCATCTAGCAAGTATTGTTTTTCTCATAACAACTCCTGATGCAAACAGAATTCGAAGCAGCACCTCGCACGAGTTAAAGCATCTGAAGCAGAAACCAGTTGTAAGTTTAATCAAGTTGTGATAAATGACTAAGACCTGAAAATTATGAATTTGCTGTACTGTAACAAATAAATAATAAACAGTCTAAGGTTAAATTAATTTTTGCTAGCAAGTCATCTTTTAACGGACACTGAACAATTTTGTTCATTGACACTTGTCCATAACATGTCTATTCCATTCCAAATGTAATTACCCAGCTAAC